TGATCTGCTTCCATTTAAATGCCATAACTACCCTTGAACACATTGAAACTATATACGAATACAAAAAAATTAAGTGGGCAAAAATTGTACCAGAACTCAGGTGCAAAATTTGATGAAAATTTTGGTACAAAATGGTGCAAATTTTGGTGAGATAGCCTAAGACTTCATTGTCATAACCAAAACTTGAATTGCTGCCAATAATCTGTCATATCTTGAGGACTTGAATATAGAGCCACCGTTGCCATTATTTGTTATTTTTTTAGAGAAAATTGAATTTCTTTTCTCTTGTTGCGTTGGGGAAATGGCAACAATGCCCTAGACATAAATACCACCATCCACCCTAATTGGAGGTAGCTTCATAAATTCCACGTTGTGGTGGAATGGCATGAAAATAATTGGTCAACCGTGTGACATAAAAGTTGAAAGCTTTCACGTACCTCATTCTACGAAGGTTCCTTGTTAGTACAGAGGAATTTATACAAGTTGATAATTAAGCTCTTATTTGACAATCATTCCTTCTCATTTTCTGTTTTACTCATACTCATTTTTAACTACAATTCTCACCAAGAAAATATTTTTCATTTAAGTTTCAAATTTTTTCTTATTTTTTAAACACATATTCCCTCAAAATTTATTATTAAAAAACTCATTCTTTTCCCTAAAAAAAGAAAAAAAAAACTATCAATAAGATAAAGAATAGCTCTCTTTAATTTTTTAATTATCAAAATAATCTTCTTCTACTTAAAAATAGATAAATCACATATTTCATTATAAAAATTTCTTTTGATCGAGTTGTAAGTCATTGGGGGTGGTATGAGACGCACATTCAATGATTAGACAAATAAAATGAAAATATTGATATAAATTCGTAACAAGATTTTGTAGTTATATTGGAACATCAATTTAGTTGTTTATCCTTCAATTTTATATTTTTTTAATTGACGAGGGAGCCCGCAACCGCTATTCTTGGGGTGCGCACTGGGAAAACCCTTAAACTGACGCAATAATCTGCAAATCACATCAGTCAGCTAAACTGCACTAGATATGCCCTATGCGACATGGTCATCAATTTGTTTTAATCATTAAAAGGCCTATAATTATCAAATACCTATACCAGCATTATTAAATGAAGACTTGCGCTTGTAGTCAACTCGTGCCTATCCAGGAACCAATCTTGTTTCTTCCTAAATCTGCCACTGAATTAAATTAAATCCATTCAATTTGTATGTATTATTAATTCCACAAAATGTCATTTATGCCCTTTTTTTAATACAAAAGCTTCAATTTTCTACCTAACTCCAATCACCATTCACGCGACGATTTCTTTGTAGTTTCTCGAGGAAGAAAAAGTGCATCAACGCTTGTTTCTTTGTAGTTTCTCGAGGAAGACTGATGCTGCCTGTCCAATTTAATAAAATATTTTTGATAAAAAATTGTGGAATTTCTATGCATATATAATTTGAGGAAGAATGATGCTGCATGTCCAATTTAATAAAATATTTTCTTTTCTCTTAAGTTTAATAAAATATTTTCGATAAAAAATTGTGGAATTTCTATGCATATATAATTTGAGGAATAATGATGCTGCCTGTCCAATTTAATAAAATATTTTCTTTTCTCTTAAATTTAATAAAATATTTTTGATAAAAAATGTGGAATTTCTATGCATATATAATTTGAACTCCAAACTTTTTCTTATTTTTTAAACACATATTCTCTCAAAATTTATTATTAAAAAACTCATCCCCCCCCCCCCCGGAAGAAAAAATAAAAAACCCCCCCCCCCCCCCCCCCGGAAGAAAAAAAAATGTATCAATAAGATAAAGAATCACTTTCTCTTAAATTTTTTAATTATCAAAATAATATTTTTCTTTACTTAAAAATAGATAAATCACATATTTCATTATAAAAAAATCTTTTGACAAGTTGCAAGGCATAGGGGTCGTATGAAACACACATTCAATGATTAGAAAAATAAAATGAAAATACTGATATAAATGTTATAAGAAATAAATTTGTAGTTATATTGGAACATCAATTTAGTTGATTACCCTTTCAATTTGTTTAAATCATTAAAAGTGCTATAATTACTAAATACCTATATTAGCATTATTAAATGAAGACATACGCTTGTAGTCAACTCGTGCCCATCCAGGAACCTACCATGTTTCTTCCTAAATCTGCCATTGAATTAAATTAAATCCATTCAATTTGTATGCATTATTAATTCCACAAAGTGTCATTTATACCCTTTTTTTAATACAAAAGCTTCAATTTTCTCCCCAACTCCAATCACCATTCGCCCGACAGTTTCTTTGTAGTTTCTCGAGGAATAAAAATTCATCAACGACTGTTTCTTTATAGTTTCTTGAGGAAGAATGATGCTGCTGGTCCAATTTAAATTGAAAGTCATGGAGTGTCGAAGCTTTTTTTTTCGCTCAAGTTTAATAAATTATTTTCGATAAAAAATTGTGGAATTTCTATGCATAATTGCACCTGCTTGGTTGTCTTTCTTTTAATAATATATAAGAGCAACTTATGCATACAGAAGACATCTTTAAATTTAGGGAGTAAAATTATTTATACACTCCAACACTTTCTTTATTTTGTTTGTTTTTTATTTTCAAAATATATTTATTGATTTCCCTTTATCTCTTATTTAATATATTTGTTTTGTCCGTCAACGGTCAAGCAATTCAAATGTGATTTAAATAATTTAGATAGTAGATTATTGAAATATGAAACATATTAAATACAATCACTGTAAACTAAGAATTGAGAGTTTGGACTCTTTAAATTTAAAGATTCAAACACACTCTGTTTTAACTTTATTTTAAGTATATTTGAACTTATGTTTAAGTATTGATTCTCTAAAATAGAGAATATAAAAAGTCTCTAGGAACTACACTAATGTCCTTGATTATCTACTTTTCTAAAATATACCACATTTGAATAGTTTTCTCTTAAAAATTATGATGTTCTCAATTCATTTACCTTTTATTGTGCTCCTTTAGTAGTGGATCGCCATTTTTTTTTTTTAATTAAAAATGCTTATCTATGTGTCAAAAGAAAAGTGTGAAAATAATTTTTTTATCATGCTATTTGCAATCCATTAAAGACTGATTATGGTAGAATGGCACGAAAAAATTGGTCAATTGTGTGATAGAAAAGTTGAAAGATTTCATGTACCTCATTTTTCGAAGGTTCTTTGTTAATGCAGAGGAATTTATACAAGTTGATAGTTAAGCCCTTATTTGACAATCATTCTTTTTCATTTTCTTTTTTCCTCATACTCATTTTTAACTAAGAGTGGACCCTTTTTACTGTTTTAATTAATTCATTGGAATTAGACTTTCTTGTTATTGAACTAAGTATCTGTTTGATTGTAAGAATAGAATTTAGGTAGAAAGAAAATGAATTTTAGAGAATTGAATTGCCTAAAAATTATTTTACTGGGAATTGTCAATTACATATGTTTGATTGGTATAATTTTTCACCTAGAAAATGTTGAAATTTTGGATCTTTGGTTTTCTTTGGCCTTGTTTTTCATGAAAATTGTCAATTAAAAGGATGTAATTTGTTAAAATTGTGAACAGAGTTTGCTTCCATTGTCAAAAATAAAAAAAATAAAAAAAAAAGTTGGAAAGACCAATTCTCACCAAACTATGGGAATTGGTTTTGTACAAAACCAAGGAGAAAGGTGACGTGGAGAGTGGGGGAAGGGCGGCAGGGGGGGTGGGGGCGGAGGCAAATGAATTGCCAAGAAGATTATTGCTATCAAACAAAGAGAAAGGTCGAAAATGGGGGGAAAAAAATTCTTAAAAACAGGCCCTTAAAGATGAATAATTAACTTAATTTCAAATTAAAGCCAAAACAGTCATTTTCATTTTTTATCAGGGTTTGAGACTTTATCCTTTGAAGAAAGACTGTTAATAACCTCTCATATCTTGAGGATTTAAATAGAGCCAAAATTGCCATTAATTATTATTTTTCAGAGAAAATTGAAATTTTTCTCATATATCATCAGGGAAATGACAACAATGCCCTAGACATAAGTACCCACCTCCATCGTAATTGGAGGCAGTTTCGTAAAGTCTGCAATGTGGTGGAATGGCGTGAAAATGGTTGGTCCACCATATGACAGAAAAATTTAAAGCTTTCATTCTTTGTTAATACAACAAATTCATACAAGTTGATAATTAAGTCCTTGTTTGAAAATTATTTTCTCTCATTTTTTTTCATATTCATTTTCAACTTCAATTTTCACACACAAAAAAATAATAATAATAAAAAATTTAAGTAAGCTCTAAAATTTTCCTTCTTTTTTAATAACATTCTCTCAAAATTTACTATTCAAAAATTCGATCTTCTCAAAAAAGGGGGAAAAATTGTCAATAAGATAAAGAATTGCTCTCTTTAATAATTTTTATCATCAAAATAATCTCTCTTTACTTAAAAAGAGATAAATCACATATTTCATTATAAAATATCTTTGGTCAAGTAGCAAGTCATCGGGGGTGGCGTGGTGTGGGACGCACATGCAATGACTACAAAAATAAAATGAAAAGACTGAAAACATAAATAAGGAAGATATAAATATTATACGAAACAAATTCAATACATGATATTGTAGCTATACTTAAACATCAATTTAGTTGATTATCCTTCAATTTGTTTGAATAATAAGAGGGCTATAATTATTAACAGAAATGTTTTCCTGCCTACAGTGAGAAGTTTTATCTTGTCCACTTGGAGGAAACCATAAATAAAATTCTTTTGTCATATTAGCAAGTTGACACTTATATTCTATTCATTGCAGGAGAATTATTTCTTAATTATTAAATACCTATATCAGCATTATTAAATGAAGACTTACTCTTGAAGTCAACATGCGCCATTCATTAACCTCTTGTTTCTTCCTATATAAGCCATTGAATTAACTTCACATTTCCAATCATCAACTGGAAAACAAATAAAAGAACACAAGGCAAATTGGTTTCTCATCTCTTTGGGCTCATCAGTTTCTTGCCGTAAAACTCCAGCATTGTTTTGACTGTGAGAGGTAAAAACCACTAGAATTTTTCATACGAATTATATTTCTTGCTTCATTTTTTCTGAATGTTACTATGAAAAGTTTTTGATGCGCAATATGTCCACTGTCCAGCTATTTCTTATGAAGTGTTTATAGATCTGAAGTCAGAGTCGAGAACTAAATGCTATAATTTTATCTTTTTTTTTTTCTATTCTTTTACTGAGGTAGAGTTTGTGTGATTTGTGAAACAACGAAGTTTGAAAGGGGGTGAATAGGTGTAATATGTGAAATTTAAATTTATCAAGTAATTAATAGCAATAAGTCACACTTAAATATATCCAGATAAATTAAATCACGCAAATCTAAACTCAGATATCAATTATGCAGTTTAAATATAGAGCCAAAGTTCCCATTAATTGTTATTTATTTAGAGAAAATTGAAATTTTTCTCTTATTGCATTAGTGAAATGACAACAATGCCCTAGACGTAAATACCACCATCCACTCTAATTGGGGGCAATTTCGTAAATTTCGTAATGTGGTGGAATGGCATGAAAATAGTTGGTCAACCATGTGAAAGAAGAGTTTAAAGCTTTCATGCACCTCTTTCCATGAAGGTTTTTTGTTAATAAGAGGAATTTATGCAAGTTGATAATTAAGCCCCCATTTGTTTTTCATTCTTTTATCATTAAAATGAAAAATATGATCGTTATCCATCACATCAAATCATCAAATTTGAATTTCTATTTCTTGTGTGAGGTTCGTAACGACTATATTTTTCATTCTCATTTTCACAAAAGTTGGAAACAAACGGGGGCTAAATCCTTTTTTTACAGTCATTATTTTCATACTCATTTTCAATTTCAATTTTCACAAAAAAAAATAAAATATATATATTTTTTCACCTATGTTCAATATTTTTCTTATTTTTTAACCACATTTTCTCTCAAAATTTACTATTCAGAAATTCTTTATTTTCAGAAAAAATTGTCGGCCCCTATTTGTTTCTCATTATTTGCTCATTAAAATGAAAAAATGACCGTTATCCATCACCTCAAGCTACTATATTTGACTTTTTATCTTTTGTGTAGAGTCCGTAACGGTCATATTTTTCATTCTCATTTTTACATTAATGTGTACTAAACATGGCCTTAATATGATAATGAATTGCTTCTTTAGTATTTTTTTTATTATCAAAATAATCTTCTCTTTACTTAAAAATAGATAAAGCACATATTTCATTATAAAAATATCTTTTGATCTAGTAGCAAGTCATTGGGATGGTATGGGAAGCATATTCAATGATTAGAAAAATAAAATGAAAGACTGATAATATAAGTAATTATACTTGAACATCAATTTAGCTGACTACCCTTCAATTTGTTTAAATAATTAAAAGGGCTATACTTATTAACTAAAACGTATTTCTGCACACAATGAGAAGTCTTATATTGACTACTTGAAGAAAATCGCACTTACGATTCTCACATTTGGAGAAAACCATAAGTAAGGTTCTTCTACACAACATCAAGTGGGTAGTCTTACGTAATTATTAAATACCTATATCAGCATTATTAAATGAAGACTTACTCTTGAAGTCAACTCGTGTCGTACAGGAACCTCCTATTTCTTCTGGCTCATCAGCCTGCAAAACTCCATCATTAGTTTTGACTTTGAGAGGTAAAAAACACACCGTCTTTTAACAAAATTAGTTTTTATTTTTGAATTTTTCATACAAATTATATTTCTTGCATCATTTTTCTAAATGTTATTATGCAAAGTTTTTGATGTGCTTATTGTCCAGCTATTTCTTCCAAGTGTTTATAAATCTGAAGTGTAGAGTCAACGTCTAAATGCTATAATTTTATCTTCTTTTTCTGTTCTTTTATTGTGTTAGGGTTTGTGTGATTTGTGAAATAATGAAGTTCCATCCAACTAACACTAAGAGGGGGTGAATACGTATCATATGCGAAATTTAAATTTATCAAGTAATCAATTGCAACAAGTCACAATTAAATATATCCAGATAATTTAAATCATGCAAATCTAAACTTAGATATCAATTATGCAGTTTAAATATTGCGAAAAGTAAATAACATCAATGAGTTACCGTATGGTCCAAATACAACTAAACATTTGTATATTTTGACCCCCAATCTATTAACGCAACGAAAGAAAGAAATTCAAGTGAAAACCTTAAGAACAAGAAATTTGTAATCCATCAAATAATAAAGAAAATAAACTCACGAATTTATTAATGAAAGATAAAAAAAGAACTAAGCCCTTATTTATAAGGGTTTATATAGAAACTTAGTTTAGAACAACTAAAAGTAATGAAAAAGAAGTTTAGTCAAACTAGAATTGTAAAAAAATGAAAATAAACGAATTGACAAAAATAGCGCTAAAATTTTAAAAATAAATTTTTGAGGCCTAAACGAACTCGAACAGTCGAATTCAATGTACATCACAACGTAGCCCTGAGTATTGTTCCCCTCGTCGTTCTCCTTCCAAAATGGTCTTATGGGAGCGATCCGAAATCAAGATGATTTATTTCTACTAGTGCTCTTTTTCAATATACCCGTTATATCCTACATCTTCTATAATCACCAAGGAACTTCTTGATTACATGCTCTAGCACAATGTCACGGACTTGCTAATTTCCTCCAAGAACCGTGCGGCCTTAGTGTCTTCAACTTCCGCCCTCGCGGTTATTACATTAAGTCAGCCTCCCGATTGGCGTTGATGTCTTAGAAAGGCACTAAGTAGAACACTTTAAGAAAGGAACAATGAAGGAACACAAGAACTTACAAAGAAGGCTTTGTATTGAATAAGGATACTCTTTACAACTTCACTCTCTTGATGCCTTCAAATGAATCCTACCAAGCTATTTATAGTAGTAGCCTCCTCAAATGGATGGCTAAGATATTTTCTATCCAATGGTCTAGATTACACATTTAGAATTATCTATACAAATATTTACATTAAAATATTTATGGACTAAATTAGGGTGATCTAGAATAATCCACTAAGTGAGGAGCTTGTAGGCTTCTAGAATGTCTCACCATATTCTAGCAATCTTCATGCACTTGTGGGAGTCTAGAATATTCCGGTTAGCCTCAAGTCGTCAACATTTTAAATTTCTCGATCTTCTTGTGCCAAAATCGAGCGAGTCGTGACATTCTCCCCTGCCTATTTGGGCGACGCCCTCGTCGCCGCGTAATGCTTTAGTTTGTCTTCGAACTGCCACAAGTCTTCTTGACTTTCCCACGTTGCTTCGGACTCGGGCAATCCCTTCCACTTTATCAAAAATTGTTGGCAAGGAGGCACTCCACGCCTTCGAACAATGCGATCTGCTAAAACCTCATCAACCTCCTTGTCAAATGACTTAGTTACAATCGGAGGTGCCCGTTGTAACTCCCCTCGGCTAGGGTCTTCCATGTCTTCATGATATGGCTTCAACATGCTCACATGGAAGACGGGATGAATCTTTAAAGTGCTAGGTAGATCAAGGCGATAAGATACCTTTCCAACCTTAGCTATCACCGGGAACGGCCCTTCATATCTCCGTACCAAGCCTTTGTGCACACTTCGGTACGCCTTGAATTGTTGAGGTAATATTTTCACAAGGACTTGGTCGCCAACTTTAAATTCCAAAGGCCGTCTCTTCTTATCGGCCCACTTCTTCATGCGCCTCCGTGCTTTGTTTAAACAAGATCGTGCTAAGTCGGCATGCTCCTCCCATGACTTAGCCATTTTGTATGCTCCGTGGCTTTTCCCTCCTTCAATAGAAGTGGACAAAGTGTGGGGGTGTTAGTGGTTGTTGTCGTGTCGCCAACTCGAATGGACTTCGCCCCGTGGCTTCACTCCTTTGTAAATTGTAGGAAAATTGTGTAATATCCAGGAGCTTGGCCCAATCTCTCTGATTGGCACTTACAAAGTGCCGGAGATAGCACTCCAACAAAGCATTCACCCTTTCTGTTTGTCCATCCGTCTGAGGGTGAAAGCTTGTAGAGAAGTGTAGGTCCGAGCCTAGGAGTTTGAACAACTCCGTCCATAGTCGACCCGTGAATCGGGGATCACGATCACTTATTATGCTCCGCGGTAACCCCCAATACTTCACAACATTCTTGAAGAATAGCCTTGCTGCTTCCTCCGCTGTGCAATCCTTGGTGACAGGAATGAAGGTGCCATACTTAGAGAATCGATCAACCACCACCATTATTGACCCGAACCCTTCGGATTTAGGCAGGGCACTAATGAAGTCCATGGTGATAGAGTCCCATGGACGCTCCGGGACTGGTAGAGGCTCCAACAAACCCGCTGGTGACCTTGTTTCCACCTTGTCTTGTTGGTACACAAGACAAGTCTTTACATAGAGCTCCACCATGTCTTTCATTTGTGGCCAATATAAGCTTGTTCAAGTAGTGCCAATGTGCGTTTCTGCCCTGGATGACCAGCCCACTTTGTGTCATGGCACTCCTTGATGATATCTCGCCGCAAATTGTTCCATTTAGGAACATAGATACGCTGCCCCGTAGTGTAGAGTAAGCCGTCCTCGACCCAAAATCGTCGCGTCTTTCCTTCTTGGGCAGCTTTTACCAACTCCTTAGCCAAGGGATCATGATCCATGCCTTCCCGAATCAAATCAAGCAACGTCCCTTTGGCTTTGCTTATGGTTGCGAGCTCCGCCTTTCTGCTTAACGCATCGGCTACAACATTCGCCTTCCCCGACTTGTATTCCATCACATAGTCAAACTCCGCTAAGAAATCTTGCCAACGTGCTTGCTTGGGAGTCAGCTTCTTTTGTGATTGGAAATAACTAGTAGCGACATTATCCGTCTTGATGATGAATTTTGAGCCCAACAAGTAATGACGCCACACTCGTAGGCAATGAACAATAGCCATCATCTCCTTTTCTTGCACCGTATACCAACGCTCAGTGTCGTTGAGCTTGCGACTTTCAAAAGCAATAGGATGCCTTTCTTGCATTAGAACACCCCGATAGCAAAGTTTGAGGCATCTGTTTGTACTTCAAAGGTCTTGGTGAAATCCGGCAATGCCAAGACCGGTTTCTCCATCACGGCCGCCTTCAAATCATCAAAGGCCATTTGACATTTCTCGGACCAATCCCATGTCTTATTCTTCTTCAATAGGTCCGTTAGTGGGGCTGCCCTCGCTGAGTAGCCCTGGATGAACCGCCGATAATAATTAACTAGACCAAGGAAAGAACGAAGTTCGGTTACCTTGGTTGGTGCTTCCCACTCCTTGATTGCTTTTACTTGTCTCATCCATCTTCAAGCGCCCGTGGCTAATGATATGTCCAAGGAAGTGCACCTCCTCCTTGGCAAAGGAACATTTTTCCTTTTTGATGTATAGCTCATTCTCCCGCAATGCTTGGAACACCGTTCAGAGATGTTTTGCGTGATCCTCCAAGTTGTCGCTATAGATGACAATGTCATCCAAGTATACCACCACGAACTTGTCCAAGTAAGGTTGGAAAATCCTATTCATCAATGTGCAAAATGTGGCCGGGGCGTTGGTAAAGCCAAAAGGCATTACCAACCATTCGAATGAGCCATATCGAGTGATGCATGCTGTCTTAGGCTCATCCCTTTCTGCAATCCGTACTTGGTAATATCCCTTTTGTAGATCCACCTTTGTGTAATATTTTGCACTATCAAGTCTATCAAATAAATCAGCAATCAAAGGAATAGGATACTTGTTTTTAATTGTTATCTTGTTGAGCGCCCGGTAATCTACACACATGCGTAACGATCCATCATGCTTCTTTTGGAACAAGACCGGAGCGCCATAAGGTGCCTTCGAAGGTCGTATCCTTCCCGTGTCAAGCAACTCCGTCAATTGCCTTCGAAGTTCTTCAAGCTCCGGCGGTGCCATCCGATAGGGTGCCATGGATGGTGGTTTGGCACCCGGTTCCAACTCAATCTTATGATCCACCTCCCTCCTAGGTGGTAATCTCTTGGGTAACTCCGGCGGCATCACGTCCTTATTTTCTTCAAGGACATTCTTGATGACTTCGGGCACATTATCGTCACCCACAACTTCCTCAACTTGGTCCTCCACTTTTAATGCTGCCAAATACGTCTCCTCTCCTTTCTTTAGCCCTTTTGCTAGTTGCATGGCCGAAAGCTGCCCTATTACTTTCGTCCTAGCTACCGTAGGAACCATGCATGGAGAACCCCTCTCCAAGATGCAAACCGAGCCAAAGGAAGGCATAGGAATAGCATTGACCTTCCTCATGAAGTCTAACCCGAGAACCAAGCGAAAATCATCCATTGTAGCCACCGAAAAATCCACTTGGCCATGCCAAGTGCCTAATTGAATTTCCAC